TCTTTAAGCCTATTTCTCTCGTGTCGTCCGGTTTCCTCCCAAACTTGTCGATTTCAACCCCACTACTCCTCCCACCCGCCAAATCTCTCAGACGGTCAACTCAGTATACAGCTCATTTGGGAACGGTCACATCGCTCGGAGCCCTCTCCACTATTCTTGATCTCCTTTCCCTTTACAGTCCTTTCGTCCTGGACAGTTTACTTCGCCCGGGTGGATCAGATCTCCATCGGTGACAGCTCAAAAACTTTGGCCCATCGGTGGTCTTAACCTAGATCGATTTTACCTCTCTACCCCTGGTGAACTAACTTCGAGCTTACAAAACATCTAATACACAATGGTCTCTGGCCCCGCGACGGTGTTGGAGCCCACCTTCAAGGGATATGTCGGCACGACTCAGGATGCCTTGATCCTGTTCGAGGCCTGTCTGAGCGGCGTCCTCCACCATGTACCCCGCCGCCCACACGATCGGGAACGCAGTCACCTCGTCCGCAGCGGCTGCATCTTCATCTACGAGGAGAACTCCTCCGGCATCAAGCGCTGGACCGACGGCGTCACCTGGAGTCCCAGTCGCATCCTCGGCAATTTCCTCGTCTACCGGGAGCTCGAGAAGCCCTTCCCCCCCGGGGAGAAGAAGCGCGCCATGAAGAAGCCCAACCGTCGCCCCGTCCCTAGCCGGCCGGGCGAGCCGTACCCACGCCAGGAGAGCAACGGATCCGCCTATTCCCCCTCGCCTACCACGGGCTCCTTTGGGGAGCGCTCCCAGCAGTCGGACATGGAGCGCGCCCTCGTCGGTTCGCTGGTGGACTCATACGGCTTCAAGGATTCGGGCCTGGTCAAGAAGACGATGAGCGTGACCGTGGCCGGGGTCACCCACCACCTGGTCTCCTACTACAGCGTCGAGGATGTCTTGGCCGGCGGATTGACCTCTCCGGCGTTGGCGGAACACTTGCGGTATGTCCGGCCCCGGCCGGAGCTGACCCAGAAGCAAAGCTTCCGCGCCCCGATCGATGAGTACGAACCCGGCCACCCGGAGAGAGTGACCACCGACCAGCAGCCCCATTCGCTCTATGGAGGATATCGGCCCCAGCAGATGATGCCCTCGGGCTATTCGATCCCCCACCCCCAGTCGGACTTTTACCTCCACACGGCACCCTACGCGGCGACACATCCCCCGCAGTCCACCTCGGTGGCCGGATACTCCATGGGCGCCACGATGGCGCCCACCCCAACGGCGCCCAACGTCTACTTGCCTACGCCGACCGCCCCCACGACGATCCCCCAGAAAGCCGCCGACGAGTTTGCGTCCTTCCGCGCGCAGCAACCGCAGTACGGCACCGGGTTCGACCTGGGCCACAACCCTCTCTCCGCGTCCCTTTCGTCCTCGATCAGCACGGGCATGCCCGGGGGGCTAAGCGATCGGAACCGATCGCAGTCCGACCACAGCCCGACCGCTTACCGCAATTCGTCCATCTCCTCGCGCAGCGTGGCTACGGATGCCACCTCCCCGATGGACCCCTCGACCCCGGCCACCTTCTCCCGGGGCAGCAGTTTCAGTATGGCGGGACAGCTGGACGGTGCGTCCCACCAACCCCTCGAGCAACGGGGTATGGCGGCCGCCTTTGACCCCAGTGTGCCTCGGCGGGAGTCCAACGCCATCCCGGCTGCGTTCTACCCTGGCAATGATCGAACCCAGTACTACATGGGGAGCGCCACGCCGGCTGCTCATGCGAATTACCCCGTGACAACGTGGGCGACGCCTGCGCCGCAGCAACCGATCTAACCTTTTTTTTTTCCCTCTCTCTTTCTCTTTCTTCTTTTTTTTCCTCTCAAGGGCGGCAGTTTGGGAAATAGACTATGCTTATGCGCTATGGATGATTACCCGGATGTTTGGCTCTAGAGGAGATATGGGCGGCTTTCTCGCTATATTCCTTTCTTTGCCCACTTTTCTTGACTGATTCTACTTTCTTTCGCTTTTCCACGACGATACGATTCGTACTAAAATGGGTTTTTATTTCTGGGGGGCACTTGTCCTATCGTTGGCTTTTTTTTTTCATTTGTTCAGCCGGGTGGTATTCTCTGGGATTGGGATTGATTTCTCTTATTACTATGCGTGTCGCTTAATGTGATCATGAGCAAATGGATTGGTTTGGGCGGCACGGTCTGGGAGGTTTTCTGATTTACATGTTTCTGACTTTGTGGTTTTCTATCTACTAGCCTGTGGTGAATGCGTTTTGTGCGATATGGGAGCCGTGGCTTCTACGGGGTACTGGATAGGAGACCGGACCAAATTGAGTTATTCTCTACGTGTGATTATGCAGTGGATGATCTATCGAATCTACTGTGTCTGTACTGTGTCTGTAGTGTAGTTTGTAGTTTGTACTGTAGTTTGTACTAAAGAATAAGGGCACTAGCTTAACTTTCGTGTCAGATCCATCTGACCATCCGTTTTCCCCGGGTGTGATCAGGGAATGATACACTTGCATAGTATAAATGGGAGTGGGAAAAAGAGTGTACAAAAGTCTAATCAAGCCATCTCATTTCTAGTGGAAAAAAGGCAGATGATGCTGGAATCAGCTCACATGTGTCAGCTCATCTTTACTTGGCTTTGTTCCAGTTTGCTTTGGTGGAATATAACGTCTGACTAGCTATTGCAGTAGATAGATAGATGGGTAGATAGATACAGTGCAAGCAGTCGGTACTACCTAGGAATAAACAACGGAGAAATCCGAATAACACCTGTCACAGTCAGAGTAATATCATAATCATCGAGTCTAGCTAGCTAGGTAGGCAGGTAGCTAACTACTGAGGTAGGAGGAGGAAGAGGAAGAGAAGTGTGATGGAATGTGATTGTAACCGTCATGCTGGGATGGACCCGCCAATGGGGGGTTTTTGTGGGGCTACTCATTCTAAAGAGTATGTATGCATCATTCATTCATATCTTGGTATCTGGGTAGATATACCTTAGGTAAGGAAGTGAGTACCTTAACTTAACACAGGGTTCATGTAAGTTAGTATTCGTACCTGGTAGATAGACTTGGTAGATTAGTTCAGCGTAGGTTGACTTGCATTCGACATACTCAAAGTAAAGGGCTGACTCTACCTCAGTAAACTATGAGAAGGAAAGAAGAATGGTGGAGATTAGATTAGATAAAGAGAGTGGGGTCTCTTATATAATATAATATAGATCTCTGGTAGGATGAGATGGATGGATCCATCGATGATTCATTTATTGATGATGATTGATTAGCTGGATAGACCCACTTTGAATACCTAATCTGTCTATTGTTTAAGTTCCCGATTAGTATTGGCAGTCAATATTGAGGATATACGGTTTATACCTGGTGGCAGACTAATAGATTAATGGAGCAAAGAAATGGATTGAGATCTCAGTAAAAGGAGTTTACTGACTCATGTATACTATCATATCAATACACAATGAATCAATCTGGTGAATCTCTTGCGTATGAAGTTGTACATGTGCTACATTACCTAGGCACTTACTTTCCTAGGAGGTTGGTGGATAGGAACTGCCAGGAACTTAATTCATCATTTATTGTAGATGCAGTATTGATTAAATTATCAATGTATCTGTTAATCTAGAATGTAAATACAGGTACGACCATGTATATATATTACATACATAACACTACACGATATAATCCCCCCTAGGTATTCCGTACAAGGATGGGCTCGCAGATGTCGTGCAACCTCTCTAAACCGGACCTCCTTCAGGTTTGTCTCCACACTGTTGATTGCATTGTGGACTGCATAATCAGGTATGATGTAGGTAGGTAAGTTTATTCAATGTGGGGTTTGTGTCTCTCACATGGTTTGTTAGGTTTATTCTCTAGGTTTCTTTGTGGATTAACTTCAGGTACATGCGTAGTACCTAAGGTTAGTTTGCTTCCTGGTTATATTAGAGGTTCAAGATACTTGCATAGTACCTAGGTAAATATACTTATCCACCTCTAGCTGAGTATAATAGGTGGCTTATACGTTAGTATATGAGGTTTGGGGTTATGATGGTGTTATCATTTGAGAGCGAGATAGTATGTGCATGGCTGTAAATTGGAAATAGTAGGTAGCATATCTGGGTATCGTCCAATGTAAGGTAACGCTATCACTCGCTTTCACATAAAAACCAGATCAAGAAAGAGAGAAGAATGCAAGAGAAGATACAGGAGAGTCACAGGAGAAATACAAGAGAAGAAGAGAAAGTAAATACAAGAAAGGAAAAAAGAAGAAAAAAAGTAGAAGAACAATCACCTCCCCGACCTCCTCCTCGCCCGATCCACTCTCGAAACCTGCATCTTCTCCCTCTCGGTCCTGCCATCGCCGCGCCCAGTACTGGGGCTAGGGCTACTAGGTTCCATCAACACTCGCACCGACAGCGGTCGGGCGTCAAGATTGCTCGCGGGCATGGGCATCGACGACGCCGCCAGGTTCCCTCCTACCCCTACCTTCCCTGGTAGTCCTGGCACTGGTGCCATCCCCGGGATGGTGCCTGGTCCTGGCGTGAATGGCATTTGGGGCATTCCGTGGACGGGCTGTACCATGTTGAAGTTGGGGGGAGGGTTGGTGGGGAGTTCGTTGTCGTCGTTGTTGAGGTTGTCGGGGGAGATCTATCTCGTTAATATGGGGTTTTCACAATTAAAAAAAAAAGAAAGAAAAGAGGAGATGGAGGGGAAGACGAGGGGAAGAGAAGAAGAGAAGGAACATACACTAGATGCAAACTTCCTCCCAGGCATATGCACATAATCATCAAACGAACTCTCCAACTGCGCAAAATTAAACCCCCTCTCCGAAGTAGCAGGCTCAAACCGCTGTCCACTCTCGACGCGAAAGTCCACCGGCCGCCGAGGAACCGCCCGATAGCTCGGAAGCGAAAGCATCCACGACGGATAATTCCCAAACCAGCACTGCAGAACCGGGTCGATATCCAAACTGAAGCAGATGCGGCTATCCGCCCGGGGCTTCCGGACCAACATGGCAAAGGTAAACTCGCGCGGCAGCCCAGACCGCTGCAGCGTGTTCTCCTCGAGCGACCAGACGATTTCCCCCGCTTCCACGTCGTACTGCCGTCCGCGCGGACTCCGCAGCGATCGCACCGAGCCCTGGATCCGCATCATCTCGTACCGCCGGTATCGCCCGTTCATGCCCCCCGACGGCATGATGCTGGCCATCAGCGGCAGGTCCGCGAACCCGATCTGTCCCGCGAGACTGTAGTTCCACTGGAGTGTCTCTGGGGAGACGGCGCCGTAGAGCAGATGCGGTGCGTGTCGGAGGAAGCGTGGGCTGTTGTTTCGCGAGCGGGAGCCGCGCAGGGTCTGGGACGACGGTTTGGGGGAGATGGCGCTGGACTTGTCGCGGGTGCTGCGCACCGAGGCGCGGATGGTGGCTGCCTTGAAGCGGTGGTTTTGGGTGTTGGGCGAGTGGAAGACGAAGCTGATGCCGAGGAAGTCGACGTTGTCGAAGTCTTTGTCGGAGACGGCTCGGCTGGAGTAGAATCCGTGCTGGAGTCGCTGTACATGCGCGGTGATGTAGGCGTCGCCTGGGAGGTGGCGCTCGTAGATGCATGCGCGGTTGACGTGTAGACGGGGGTTGGTGAGGTTGGGGTCGACGGGGACTTCGATGTTCGCGAGAGGCGGTCGTGATGGTGCTGGTTGTGATGGGGGTTTTTTATCGGGGGCGTCAGTGCTGGTCCGTCGGGGAGGTGGGAGGCCTGGAGCGGAGGGTCGTTCGATGGTCACCATAGCCAGCCTTGCGTTTTTATTGACAGGCGTTGAACCCTCTTGGCTTTCATCTTGGTCGCGGAATCCCATTGCGACACGGCTTGCTGTAGAGATGCGTCCATGAACGGGGGTTCCCGGTTGACAGGAGGTGCTCAAGTAGTACTCGATTCTTGGACGGAGGAGGAGTCATAGGCGACAACACGTTTGACACGCGAGACATGACGACAGTATGGATGAGAGTTGTGGTCAGGATCGTGGAGATGGCGGGTCAGCCATCAGGTGGAAGAGCGATGGGAGATCAGATGAGAGGGCGATCGGCGTGTTGATCAGATCAGCTGCAGTAGACTGTCATATCACTTTCTATTGGTCTATATTATATTGCTTTATTATAGTATTGTCTATTAGTACTTTTACTTTATTGTGATCTTTCTATTGTTTATTAATAGGTATGGTGCGGGTCTACTATCGAAGCCCCAACATTCACTGATATATAGTATGTACTCCGCACTGAGTCTACAGATATATAGATTGATAGTTATATGTAGAGATTCAGTGAATACCTTTATCAACGCAGTGTCTACACATTAATTATACACACTGAATTCCTCTCATCTCTTCAGTCTCTACTGAAATAAACAGAAATCAAGAACCAGCAATCAAGAATAACATGGGGTTTACACGACTGTAGATGATCCCAAGGACACACGTGACCCGTCTGTCCGCCACCGGATCAACATTGATCCGAGTATGATTTCCTCCAATCGACCGACTGGATCACGAGTTTCTGTTTAGTATAGCTTCACTTTCCCCGGCCGTTTCCTGCTGTTGTCTGTCCTTCTCTACATTAGCTACCAGGCCCGATTGCTATTCATCGGTTGTGGATGGCAATTGTTCGGGTGGCTTCTTTGTTGCTCGTAATTGAGACTGAAGGTTGACATTCACGTCACGGAGCCGGGGACTTTCTTTAGATCTACTCTTCAATCCCCACATTGTAGCCGCGGTTTCTTTGGATTGGAGTGTTCCAGTGCAAGAGAAAGAGAGGCTTTGTCTTGCATCACATGATTGCTTGAATTGCCCAACCATTCATTTTTGTTATACCCGTCTGATAGCGCCTTGTTTTGCACCGTTCATCTCCACCATGTCCTCTATCGTGGCCTCCAGGCTTTCGGCAGTGTCACTGCGCACATCTGGACAACGCGTTCCTTCATTATCTGGAGTTCCGTCTCTAGGGTATAATGCCGTGCCGTGGAATCTTCGACGCGGTCTCCAGGCGCAAGCATTCCGTGGCGCTACCATCACGACCTCTGCCATTGGTCTTTCACAGAACAGGTGTGGATTGATCGGGAATTGAAGCAAAAGAACCATCTAACCATGTCTAGCTTACGGAGTCGAGGGTCCTTCGTTGGTGCCATCCATCCTCGCTACGCAGGATACGCCAACCAGCAGAAAAGATGGACTGCTTCGGGAAAACCTGACAAGCACGAGTAAGTATCAGTTCACCGTGTAGGGTGGACTCGTTGCCCATTCTGACCCATTGCAGCACTCCGTCAGATTCGAAAAAACCTTCCATTCTTTCTAAAATCCCCCTTCCTACTACCCGTGAGAATATCTACACCGTCCCTAACATACTCACCTTCTCTCGCCTGGTCGCTGCCCCCCTAGTGGGCTACTTCCTTGTCTATGGCCACCACACAGCCGCGTTGGCGCTCTTCGCCTATGCCGGCATCACGGACCTCGTGGACGGGTATATCGCACGACGATATAACCTCCAGACGGTGGTTGGCACGATCATCGATCCGATGGCCGACAAGCTGCTGATGACCATCGGTGTCGCCTGTCTGGCCGTCAACGGCTCCATCCCAGGTGCGTAACGATGCTCACGATTGGCCATGAGTGATTACTGACGGTGTCCAAGTCTGGCTTGCCGTGATCATCCTCGGACGGGATGTTGGCCTGGGGATATCCGCCTTGTACTACCGGTGGATTTCGCTGCCGGCCCCCAAGACCATGGCTCGATACTGGGATTTCTCTCTCCCATCCGCGGAGGTGAAGCCCACTACAGTTTCCAAAGCCAACACAGCTCTCCAGCTGCTGCTCGTGGGAAGTGCGATCGCAATGCCGGTCGTTCCTGAGCCGTTCTTGGATGCGTGGAATCTGAAGGAAGCAATGAGCGTGTTTCAGTAAGTTTATCTTTTCTTTATTTTCCCTTTATTGCCCCCCCCCTCAGTTGCCTCCTGTTGTGTGTTGGGGAAGAATGCGATACGAATGGGCTATATAACCCATCCATTAGAAGGAATAAGTACATACGACCATAGGGTGTGGAGAACAGGGCTTCCCGTCCGCTCAGCCGTACTTAAGCCACACGCCGGCCGGTTAGTAGTATGGTGGGTGACCACATGCGAATCCCGGCTGTTGTATGTTTTCTTCTTTTTTGCTTGCTATTTTTTTTTTTTTCCTTCTTATTTTATTTTATTTTATTTTTTAAAACACCATACTAACCCGTCTAGATACCTCGTTGCAGGAACAACCATCTGGTCGGGCCTGAGCTATGTCTTCTCCAACAACGCCGTCAAAATCCTGTCTAAGGAAGAGATACAACGACGCATCGCCAAGGCCGCCGCGA